GGCCATTATGGAGCTCTCTTTAAGTAACAACCACGTCCCTACATATTAAAGCCACGTTCATTCAAGTCAGCAATCTGTTATACGTTGATTGCCTGAAAAATAGATGCAGCCTATATTGCTCATCTAATCTTTCTGGGGTAATTTGGGTCCAAACCGCAAACCCAAGATCACTACCTATTTTCTTCATTGTCTACATACACTTGGGGTTTTCTGACTTCAGTCCATTTTTGCAGTTTTTTATAAGTGTGGTTAAAGGTTTATGTACCCTAGAGTCAAATGACCTGACTACCAAGAGCTTGTTCTCTATTCTTATTCTCCCAAGTAAAATAACAACAGATTCTCAGAGGAGCTGGACTCAAGCAAAAGAGAGAAGACGTTTCATTTGCATATTCAACTGTTTTGAGTTAGAGAAGAACAAGTCGTATTAGCTTAAGGTAACATCATCTGAGGACATGAATTGATCACAACAGTTCTGACAGCCTCTTGACTTGTATCGGAAATAATAAAATAAAATCAGAACTGTCAGATCTTTTTTCAGTTTGAAAACTTGGGCATGAAAAGGTGACATAAAATGGATAATTTTATTCGCAGCGTATGCAGGAATTGAAGAGCAGATCAACCTGTATTAGCATGTAAATCTCTTCAGGGTGCAGAGCTTAGCCATCACTCAGAGATGAGCACCAGGGATTCCAGGACAGTCCACTCAGAGCTCTGTGCTTCATGACTGCACAATTAATTACATTTCTGTGTGAATAGATCTTCTAAGTTGATTATGTCCATCCTGCTCTCATACAATCACTGGAAAGTGCTCTCGGGTCAAATGAATTCCAATTGAGAGCTGGTATGCAGGTCAGAGTAACTACATCTTGACCGGTTTCATATATGTCCCATAAGGACAACGCTATTTCTAATTCAACTCCATTTCCTTACTCACCTATTTTGTTAAAGGAGTTTTTGTGCTGTTGAACAGAGAATGTTCTCTTTAACATGACATCACATTGCATTTAGCTGACGCTTTAATCCAAAGCGCCGTACAATAAGCGCAATAAACCATAAAGATTCAAACTAATGACAACAAGAAAGTGCTGACATATTCACTTCCAACAAGCCAGACCATTGTAAGTGCTTGTGCTTAAGTTAAACTCTTAAGTGCTACTTTTCTTTTGTTACCTAGCCTACACTAATCGATATTAACGGGTGCTAAAATACTAGAACATAAGACAGCTTCTTACTCAGAATGAATTTAAAACTTGGAGAGTTGGAGCTTTTGATGTCAAACACTGATGGGTTTATTCAGAGTATCGGCCGGAGGATTCACATCACAAGTCAAAGAGTCAGAGGTTCTGACTTCACGGTAGAGTTGCCACGTCAATTCTGAAGAGCCTCTCTCTATGTTAGACCTTTTAACTGGTTCACAGAGAGTAATCAACATCTCTGAAGGAGTAGACTAAACAGCTGGGAACACTGAATCACTTGCGTCCGACACTCATGGCCTCAAAGATTTCACACCTTAGAGTCCACAAACACCGATAAAGAAGTGCCTCAGCGTTCTCACAACAATTACCATTCGTGCCAGACAAGTTGACCGGTCTCAAACTGGTAACAACAACACATATGGCACCAATGCCTTTCCTTAAAGGAGATAACAGACGTCAGAGTAGATCATAAAACGTCACAGAGCAAAAGGTTAGATATCTAGAAGAATTATTCCTTAACAATAATAATAATCATAATAATAATAATAATAATAATAATAATAATACATGTGATTTTTTATAGCGCTTTTCCTAATGCTCAAAGACGCTTTACATAAAATCAGAACATAAACAGTATCCTAATCCAAGTGCGGAGCAAATCCACTCTCATTTTGGTCAGGTCAGGCAATTATAAAGCTGCAGCCAGGAGACTCTTAGCCTAACTTTACTTCACACAAAGACTTGACACAGAGGGAAAGTTTAGCTCTATCCATTCTTAAATATCCAACTTACTCCTAAATTAGTAGATAGATTGATTGCCTTGGGACTGGGCAAAGTTGTTCCAGTCTTTTCGGAAAGCTAAGCTAACTGGCTGACATGGGACTGTTATAAACCTTAGCAAGAAAGCAAATAGGTCCCAAAATGTCAAAGCATTGCTTTTTAATTTCTTCTTATGGTTTAAAAAGTTTAGTTTAAGATTGAAGTGAATTTACTTGTTAATGGAGTGGCACGGTGGTTCAGTGGTCTGGACTCTCGGGTTAGAACCTGCTGGAAGGCTGGTCCGTGTGGCTTTGTATGTGTCGAAATGTGAGTGAAAATAGTTGTCAGTTCCTGTGGTTGACTCCCAAAATATGTCCAGGTTGTACCCTGCCTCCCTTCCAATGTCATCTGGGGTCTGCTTCAGTCTCCCTGCAACCCTCAAGTATAAGCGTGTATAGATAATGGATGACTGGAAATACTAATGGACCTGAGTTCGCATGGAAATGATTTCATGAAAAGTAAATTAAAATATGTTTGATTTATTTGACTTACTTTCTGTATTGAATACTCTGTTATAGTGCCCAACATCTAGCTATTCATACAGTGGATGAGGCTGCATGATATTATGAAATACTTCAGCACTTTAGCTATGATGACGCTGGTTTCCCTCGAGGCAGCATTTTGGTGACGGGTTTTAATAAAGGTGCACTTAAGCCCAGATGTAATGTGTGTGTGTGTGTGTGTGTGTGTGTGTGTGTGTGTGTGTGTGTGTGTGTGTGTGTGTGTGTGTGGTGTGTGTGTGTGTGTGTGTGTGTGTGTGTGTGTGTGTGTGTGTGTGTGTGTGTGTGATATAGAATGTAACTGGGTTAATTCAAAGAGTAATGTGAGGTCTCTATTGCTGGAGGCATATGCCATGCGTCCCACGTGCCTGACTTCCAAATGAATCAAGGCTTTTCCACAGTGTTGATGCCACTAGCGAAGTGCATAGGGCTTTTTCAAACACTAAATATTACATCAAATAAGCCTGGCTGTGTCTGGTGTCACTAGTGAAAGCAGATTCAGCTTTTCAGGCTTGCAAAAAATGTTCTTTGCTGATTGTGAATAGACTTCACTGTTGATTCTAAATTGAGTTCCCAGCCTGATTTGCAACAGTTCAGACAAAGGATTTTAGTTGACCCCAGCTCGCTAATTGCCTTGTTATAAATCGTCAAAACACGTACATGCAGATATCCACTGTTGTACAGAAGTCAAAGAATACTGAAATCAATTAATATGTATAGTCTGACCTATGAGTCAGAAAGCATTGTGGTGCTCAGTAGAGAAACTTCTCAAACCAGCAACAAGTGATTATTATTCAAATGCAGTACATGTGATAAATCCCACACTCTTTGTTTTAGTTGGTACGTAATCACTTGTAAATATATTACTGTGTATATTTCTGTGGAAGAAATATCACATTGTGTACTTGGGCAAAATGAATTGTCTGTTCCACTTGAGCTTAATGATATCAGTGAAACACAATCCTTGTATTTTAATATTTAATAGGATGGAACGCAGAGAGCCCCTTAGGATAACAACTCATCTCACACCTGCTAAAGAGCTCCAATCTTATTCAGTTTTCATGCTTTATTTAAGGAAATAGTTGGAGATTTTTGGGGCTTCGCTTATCCATCTGGTTGTTAAGAGTTGGATGTATGAGAAGATTGCTTCCACTAGCGTTTCTGTTCAATCAATATGAGTTAGCTGTCAAGCTTAGCATGGCAAGCCTTGCTCTGTCTGACGGTAATGACATTTGCTGAGTGACTACTTTGTTTAAATGACAAAAAAACGACAAGTAAATATGACAATGTTGTTCGTGTGAGGGACTATTTCTTTGATCGACACATTGAAGGCCTCTCGTCATCTTGAGTTTGACAGTCAATCAGCCCAAAAGCACAAAAGGATAGTTTTTTGTCTGGAAGAAAACTAAGAAATTAACAAATCTCCTTGTCCTCACTTACATAACTTGATGACATACCGTGTCTAGCAACCAAAAGCACTTAGTCGGAACCTGAGTTACTGTTATCAAGCAAGTACACATAGACAAACAACCTGGAAATGTACTTTGGCTCTCCTGGAAATCCAGAGACCACTTAAATAAACATTTTGGGCTCTAAGCCCCTAAACAACTCTTCCCTGAGTTGCTCTGTAAACTCCTGCATGCAGCATTGTGCTCACTTAACCTTGCAGTAAGCCGTAATTCTCAGATCGAAATGCACCCATTCACGTCGATCGTTCAGAGCTGCCAACTCTTATACATTGAACATGAGACTTGACACGTATCCCTCATGTCACAGGTCCGTTTCTTTAAACTGATAACGTCACAGTGTGAAAAGCGAACACTGACAGACTGCACCGAGCAGCAAAGTACAACATCAGCACCCTTAAAACACAATGGAGAATTGAACCGTTGTTTTCAAAGCACAGAGAAAGAAAGAAATCTAACATTTTATACAAGTTAAAGCTGTCGGCAAAGAAGTCCTATTTCGATAAAACTGTTTCTATAATAGGTTTGCTGAGAATCCACAGAACAGTGTATTTCTGTGTCCCAGACGATTAACGACCATAGACCATATTTAGCTCATCATGGCCGAGGCTAGTGCAGAGAAAGAAAGAACCAAATGTTCTACTGAGAAAGGTGTTTGGGAAGGTAGTAAACAAATGGCATGTGTTTCCAGCCTTGCAGATTGTAATTCAGCTCATCCCTTCGCAGTGTTTTTGCTGAGTAGTGGGTTAGTCATTGAATTGCTGTCCGCGTTGGACTGTTGCTTGTAATCCATCATTGCAAAGCTGCCCGCCTCCTCTCCCAAAACTCCCAGCACCAGCAGCCCCCCGTCCTAACTCCCCAGCCAGTGCTACTCCTCCACTCTCCTGTGTTGTAATTGGTTTGGCTGCGGTGGGATGGGGTTACACCAGAGCTACGTGCATGTTTTGAGGAATTTCTGTATTGATTTGTTATGCATTAGTAGTTGTTTGCATTGTTTCATGCCTGTTTTATTTTCACAGATTGAGAAGATAATGAACTTGATCGGAGCAGGCATTGAAACGTCCAAAAAGAAACAGCCCTCACCAAGCTCAGGTAATGCCTCACCACATATTATGTTTTCATGATGATAGGAATTTTAATTTATGCTGAATGAATGGGTTTTCTTCTTCCAGAGATATGACTATGTGGTGTGTAATTTATTGGTTGGTTAATGTAAGATGACAACAGGGTATGGGGGATTAGGTGAGTCTTATTCATTAACCATTTATAGCTCCTAATAAAGCCTGGTGCACCATTCATGATCGCCTCGTAGAGTTCATTGGAGGGGAATTATGTTATGTTAAGTTTTAACACCGTGTCATGTATTTTAGGAGCTGCTGTTCAGTATTCAAACACACCTTCATAGATGACGGAGGGGAGTTTTTTCTTGTACTTATAACTCACAGAGATTGAAGCTGACATTTGTCTCGCACATTGTTGTTATTTGTCACACACAAAGTTTCCACTTGGTGGGTGATCTAATTCCAAATTCCTCCTCACTGTCATTCTTTCTGTTTGTGGAGTTGCAGTAGATCTCAATAGGGCTTGAATGGCACGCTTTAGCAAGTGTCCTTCAGGCGGTGCAGAGGGAGAAGCCAGCTGGCATCAGCGCAGTTTGTTTAGATAACACTCCTGGGTTGTTACACTGTAAACCTACATTAGTTAGAGACTCTGCTTTCATCATACATGATTGTGTAACAGCTCCTCTGGGTATGCACAGCACTGCCTCAGGGGGCTCATCAGATTTATTAAGATAACATTTTCATGAACAGTATGTTTTATAGATTAACAATCTACTGACCAACCCCCCGAGCTGAAAGACAGTATAATACGTGGTTGTGATAAAATAATATAAAGCAAAGACGCAGAAAATAAACAACTTTGTAGTTAGGAGGATTACGAAGTTTAACTGCTGAACCACCATTAACCTATCTGTGTATTTTCTGTTAATTAAATTACTTATCTTATATCACTCTCCCCTTCAGCCCATTTTGAAGGCTTAAAGTGTCAGTCCAGTTAAATTGGCATACATTACTATAAATTAAAAGGTAAGTACTAGTTTGACAAATGCAACCAATTCATTAAATGATGAGTATTCAAAAATGTTAAGGACATATAGTCATTTAATCAAATATTTTGTTACATTTTACTTATAGACACCCCAAAGCTATATAGCTATTGCAACAGTCCTCCAACTCATACGACCAAATAGGTCGATTGTTCAAGCGCTTATTACGACCTATAATCACGTTTGAAAGTTTTCGACCTCTAGTGCTCCCGTTGAATGCAAACGCTCCGGTGGGTCGTATAATTCACAAATAACCCTCTCTGGAAAATCCTAAATTGTAGGATAGTTTGGCCATTCAAATGCTTTTTAATTAGATTTCTAGCGAGAAGTGTATATTGTACTTTTAGAATCCACGTCCAGTGGATGTGTAGGATCTATAGTTTGATAGATATTACGAAGATGATTTGAGGTCTCGCCAGGAGAATGTGTATACTACGTCTTTCCCCTATTAATTTCTATAGAGAACCGCAGTGACGCATCCTAAAACCCGGAAGTAAGTTAGCATTTTTACCACGTCCGGTTCCTTCGACAAAAAGCAATGCAATTTCTCCATAGGATTTTAGAAAATAGCTCGAAATAAGGTCTGTGTTTGACACAAATTGAAGAGACAGATCACGTTTTGTTCTACGACATTAAATATATCAGCAGTGACCCCGCTGGTGATTTTTGAAGAGTTTACGTGTCTGAAAAACGATGGTTGTTAACATGTGGCTGAACACGTAAAACACTCCCGCTAAGTTTGTTTGCCCTGTTCTGCTTGAAAGCAAGTACCTGCCTCCTGCAAACTGTTCAAACAAACGCTTCAACTTGTACCATTTAGAATCTGTATGTTTGAATATGGATCTTAAGTTGGCGTGACGTTGAAGCAGCGACCCTGCTGTAGTTCGTTTATAGCATAACGTTAGCATTTTGCTTCTGGCGACTAGATTTATGATTAGAAAATTATAAAAGTAGGGTAGACATGTGGATATTATCCGGCTGAACAAAACGTGATCCGTCTCTTAAATGTGTGTCAACCACAGACCTTATTTCGAGCTATTTTCCAAAATCCTATGGAGAAATTGCATTGCGTTTTTGACGAAGGAACCGGAAGGAGTTTACTTCCGGGTTTTAGGACGCGTCACTGCGGTTCTCTATAGAGGCGAAGTCCCTCCCTTTCCGGGGGAGCTCCATGGGACCTTATTTCGGAAAAAGTATGTATTGAAGTGAATGGGGAGAGAAAGATTATCTTTCGATCCCGTTTGAATTGAGCCACGAATTACACATATGATGTTTGTCAATTTAAAAGATAATTTTGCAAGTCAAAAAATAAAAATGTATCGTAAAACTGTGAAGTAACACTTTTTTTTGTGTGAAACCGCTCAATGAACTACATCTCCCGTCTCGCACCACACACCAAGACGGCCGTCACGTTGGCACGTTTCACTTCTTTCTTTCAGAATGAGGCGGAAAGTATTAAAAGAGGTGAAAATCACTACAAGTCTGGGCATGTTGAGAGCTGTACATTCACACAAGGGGAGTTAGTCGGTTCGTAAGAGCCAGCATGCGGGACCGGGATTCTGGGATTTGTAGTCTTTCTAGTTGCGTATTTGTCATAGTCTTATATTTCAACGGTTTTACGACAAACTGTGACTTTTTTGACATGGAAATGATTTTTTAAGATTGACAAACATCATATATGTAATTCGTGGCACAATTCAAACGGGATCGAAAGATAATCTTTCTCTCCCCATTGACTTCAATACATATTTTTTCCGAAATAAGGTCCCATGGGTCGGAAGTAGATGGGCGGGACTTCGCCTCTCTATAGACGGCAACGTCCATGTAAAGTTAGCGTCATCCCTCACGGGGTGAAAACAGTATTTCCGGTCTCAAAGTTTTCACAATAAAACCGTATTCCCCTCACTGTCAAATGATTTGACAGTGATATCTGCAGTATTCATCCACTAAAAAACATCAGTTTATCCTTGTTAATTACACAACATTCATTGGTTTAAATTGTGTACAATGCTTTTGTGTTTTTCCCATAGGTTTTTCCCTTTCGATTCTGAGAGACACATTTCTTTTTTCAGAGGTTTTGATAGGCTAAAACATCGAACTACCCATAATCCTCAGATATCGTTGAAGCTCGGTGATTGGATGTTTTAGCCGCAATGCACATTGCGATATGGTGTTTATGCGATGGGAAATCCGAAAATATTAAAAAAAAAAATAATAATAATAATACTTTATTCCGAGTGTTCTTGCTTTTCTCTTTGGAAGTCATCACATAACGGCATTGTAATACACGGTTCGGCTGCATTAAATATTACACATCTGCCGTAGTTCTGTATTTATAGAGCCCTGATGAGAAGACTTTTGGACAAACTGGAAGAAATGCCGCCGAAACTGAATACGTGACATGGATCATAAATATATCAGCAATTAAACAACATCTTCAATTTCTCTTCACACAATACGTCTCCTTGCTGTATCAACACTAATTCGGCTGACTTTTATATTTGATCCAATTGGTAGATAGGTAGCAGTGCACAGCTGATAGACAGGGACTTTAGATATTAGATATTACTGATTTTCTTTGAATATAAGAATGTAAATACTGAGTTGAGAGAATAGTCAGGGGTTTTGGGTGATGGGAGACACATCTATGGAATCACAATTTCAATAGCTTACCATTAAATGACGGATATACCTTTCTGTCTGTGATGTTTTACAAATCAGATATTAATGTGTAGAACTACAATATGTGAAATAATATAGCAATATCCTTTAAAATTATGTGAAAACATGAATAAAACTACACATCTTCAGATGTTATACATACATAAGTGTCCTACACTAATAATACAAAGTTATTATGGCATTGTATGCTGTGTGTTATTTGTAACATCTTCAGAAACTACCTTTCCAACTCCTCATGCAGTTGACTGTTACAGGTCTATACAGGTTCATGGTGCAATGCATAAGCTTCAAATCGAGAGACTGAAACTGTATTTTTCTTTACCGTTCTGTTTTAATTTCACAATAAAGTTAATAGTAACATTATGTTTGATATTATTATGTTTTATTAACTAGACCACTGGGTCATGTTAAGACCATCTTTTCTGTCGGTTTGGTGTTACAAATATCAAAACAATATATCTGTGGATAACAAAATAAATCCGTCATAAACTAAACTGGAAATTATACTGGAAAGTATAATTTATTGTGTTAACACCTGAAACTTTACCGTTTTTTAACCCGCACCGCCTAGTGGTTAAAGCACGTTATTAAATCTTTTTGTTGAATATGTTATATTTGATGACATTTTTTAAATATTAAGAGTAGCCTACATACAAAATAGGGGGAAAGTAGAAGGTCAATGACAGAAATATAGAATAGAAAATATCAAGAAGATACTGTAGTGATCTCTACAATAAAACAGTTTAGTGCAGGACGTCCAAAGATATTAATAGGAGGATGTGCAAAACAGACAAACTAATTAGGCTTTATTTAAAAAATATATAAAAGTAACAACACCAATTATAATTACCAAAACCCCCTCTTAATTCTTCATCTTAACATTCTCTTATGTGTAAATCAGTTTCTTTTAAGCTTCTTTTAACCATCGCACAATATAACAATATACTTTTTTGCAAAAGGAAATGCATAACAGCAGAGCAATCTCAGAGCACAGCTGTTTTCCATTGCAGAGGTAATTTATGATTTTCATTGTAACTTGACTTTAAGCATTCCTACACTAATTGCCATGTTAACAATTAAGACCTGAGGTTATTCTACATTACATAAGAGCAAATATGTTGTTGGTTTTTCCCCTCTACACATATAGGTGTGTGCTATTTATAGTCCCTGTTGGGAGAACAGCATGCAGAAAATGTCCCACATTCAGCTGAGTCATACAGTTGCTGCTCCGATTTTAATCTGAGATTGTGCAAGGAGTTCTGGGAGGTTGCGAAGATGCTTTTGTTGCTGTTTTTGTACGTGTCGCTTAGTAAAGAGGTCATATTTATTTTCCACAGTGTAGCTTAATGAAAGGGAACAAACAGGTACCCTTCAGAGTCATTACCAGGGGAGGGGGGGAGAGGGATAGAGGAGAGAGGATGGGAGGGGGGCAGAGAGAAGGAGATGAGAGGGCAGATGGTAACCTAAATTGTCACTTTTCATTATAGCTCTTATCTTTTCAACATGACACAACTTGGAAATCGTATCTATTCCTGTTTTGTGTATTTCTATTCCATCCATCGTTCTCCTTGTATGCTGTCATTCTCCTGTCAGTTGCCGAGTGCCGCGCATTCATTTCCCGAAAGCAGATTTCTGAACATTTGGGGGTATTTCTGTCCATCAAAACCCAGCCCTGCAATTTTTTTGTGTCATTCTGCTCGCTCAAAGATGAGGTTGTTTGTGTTGTGTGCCCATCACAAGCGTCTCGATTGTGTGCTGAGAGCGACGAGTAAATGAGCTTAAAAAGAGAGAGGGAGAGGAGAGAGAGCTAACAGCACACAGGAGGCATCGGCTCGGGTTTGTGTACAGGCACAGTCTGACGTTCAAAGCAAAAGAGTCCGCCTTCAGTTTCCCTGAATTAATTCAGCTTTGCAGCTCATTTTCTCCACTGCTTGGGTGTGTTGACAAGGAGCTAGTGCTTTTCTCCTCCTCTGATAAAGAGCCACGGCCTTATCTAAGCACAACCTCTACCTCTTCTTCCTCTGTAAATCGTTTTTGTTTTTAGTCAAGACCGAACAGTGCTCAAACAGTACAGAAAAGCCACTTGGATAGATGTGACAGCTCGGCCTGTTTAAAAGGGGATAAGACTGTGACCCAGATCCCCCCAGAGGAGGAGCGTTGGATACTCTGTCAGTCAGTAATTAGGTCCTACTACCGTGGGAGGTGTTGCTGTCCCAAATGAATGGATGTAATTGGATGGGGTGGCGGTATTTTGAACAGTCTTTGTCTGGATATCGTGGTGTAAGAGCAGACTTCGGTTAGAGGCTCAGGAGGAAAGAGTAAAGGAGTTGTGGGATCTCGTAGTGAATCCTAATTAGTCCACTTCAATCCTTCTTACGTCCTATTGGCATCTTATCTCCCCCATATATGTTATCGCCTCATCCTTTATTAGTCTTTCTCTGTCTCTCATCTGTCTCATTCTCTCCCTCTGCCTTCCTCACTCGCTCCATCATCTTCCTCCTCAGTCTGACAGCAGCTTCTCATCCTGATAGCGGATGATGAGCACTGTTCGTTCTGGATGACTGACGGGTCACGGAGACCCTGGCCTTTTACCTGATCGTTACCGCCTGAGCAACAGGGGTACGGGCTGCCAATTACGGAGGAAGTTCAATCAATAGCCCTTCACTTTGCTTCCCTCTGTTGGCACCGCTCCTCCTTGCCCTGACTGCTTTACTCACTGACTACCACCTGGGGATGTGTGAGGTGATTGCAAGCAGCTTGAAAGCCTGCATGGCTACACTCTGTTTGCAGCCGTACCCACATCACACCAGTGGTGGACGCAGTGAGCAGCCCAGCATAGGTCTGGCTAAAGTCTACCAATACCAAGACTCTTTTTTACCCCAACATCGATTTGAATTATATTTGATCACACTTTTTTATCCAGGCTTTTTCCCAGTAAGTGTCATCTGTTATACTTAAATGCTTACACTTAAAATGCTTGATCTGAGATTGAGCATCTGGAAAGCTTTCACGCTGTATGATTGTGTGAGATTAGATGAGACAGGATTTGAAGAGTGTCTCTTTTGTTCCTCCCTTCTTCTTTTCTCAGTGCAAAAGAGACTTCTGCTAATTTAAATCAACGCTGCCCTCCCTTGTCCTATCATCAAAGTAGGATGTAAATGAATTACAGTGGTCTGCTTATGAGCGGAGACTTGATGAGGCTCTTTGTTTCCATATCTCATGTGAGCCTCAAGTAATTTGGCGTTGCTCCTGCAGAAGAGCATTGGTTCTTCGTCATCCCTTTACATTCTCGTCATTCTTGGCAGAGAAGGACTGAGGTTTCTTTGGTCTCTCTTTTTTTGGGGCGAGCTCCTATCCTCTGATGGTGGTATCCTTACTGCACTGGCAAGATCAGAGTGCCTCTGCAATTCTAATCAGTGCAGGGGGGGAGAGAGGGGAGAGAGACAGACAGTGTGCATTTGTATGACAAAAAAAGGACAGCTAGATAAAAGGGGAAAAGGGGTAGTGAGACGATGAAGAGAGAGAAAGAGAGTGTCTGTGTGTGTTTGAGGACAAGAGGCAGGGAGCGAGACAGAGTGAGGGAGAGTGCAAGCCAGAGAGGGGGGAGAGAGGGAGAGGCAGAGGGAGGGGAATTGATATAGTGGGAGAGTGAGGGAGAGAGAGGTGGTTACGTGGAGCGGCACCCCACTTCATCAGGCAGCATACGGCAGCCCTGCAGTGCGGTCACACAGTGTGGGAATGGGGCTATGAGATCCAGAGCAAAAGGAAGAGAGAGAGACATGAGAGTGAGGAGGGGGGGGAGTTAAAAAGAAGAGCTTGAGGGATTTGCTCGGATGAGAAGGGGAGATGATCTGAGTCTCTTGCCTGTCTTGGACGTGGGACAAGGACGTGGCAGTAGGGGCTGAGGTTGAGGCAGATCTGCGGTCTCCTGTGTAGAAGTAACCGGCGTCAGGACGTTATGCCCTGTGAGCAGTGAGGGGAGCGCGTGTGAGCCGGGAGCAGCTGCTGTGACTGCATCTGCGCTGCCTGCATGTCTCAGAGAGGCAGGGGATGCAGCAAACCTCTGCCCTGAGCACAGAGGCTGCTAGCTGTACCCAGCGAGGAGAAGAACCAGGTGGGCTGGGGAGGGAAAAGGGGGCGCCTGCCTTAAGAAAAGGAGCTAGCTTAACCTGCACCTGTAGTGATCCCCACTGCTTCAGAGTCAAGGCGCTCACCTGCCGTCTGCTGGATCTGAACCTGGATTTACTGCTCTGAGAGATGAGAAGCACGTTCACTGGCGGAGCCGCACAGCCAGCAGTCTGCTGAAGAGTGTGGATGCTGGGCAGCACTGGCACCACCAAGGACACCAAGCCTTTTTCCAGACAGCTTTGAGGAGTTTGAAATCAGCACACTCTGGAAATCCTAAGCCAACCTATTTTTTTTTTTTATGTAGGATTTACAATATTTCTACCTGATCGTACTCTTTGTGGCTCTGGAGTAAAGAGGAAAACAAAATGATTTAAGCCAATTTGTATTCCTTGATCAAAAATAACACCAGTACCTCAACAGTACTTTAGAATGCTGCTGCCTTCCTTGTATGAGCCGTGTCCTAGCTCTCAAAGAGATTGACCAATGAAGCCATGGGACTCAGCCAGAGCGTTACAAGTATGTGGTGAAAACCGTGACAAATTTATTTTGGGGGAAATGAATATTTCTGTGTTACACCCTGATGCAGTAGTTTCTGATGTTAGACAAACATATTAATGGGGATAGTTTTAACCGAGTAAATAATGTGTGATGTATGAAAATGTTTGATTTAGTGACAGATGTTTCCATTTCCCTTCAGGCTGAAAATGATTTAGCTGCTTGACTTGAAGTGTTCAGAATTGTTGTTTTGTTGGACTAGCTAGGCATTTGTTCTTAAACTCGCTCATCTGCTCACTAAAGGAATGTTTAGTGAACCCTGTTTGTTGGAAGATGCCGTAGTGGCTCAGTCCAACATAACTAACACCACCAAGCTTCAGATGGGCTTCCTTCCCTGCACTACCTCCACCCTCGCCTGACATTTCCAGTCAGTCACACTAACACCAGTGGGTGTATATTAGCCTAGTCAGTCCCCCTGCAGGGCTCGAGCTAGGCCTGCAGCACTTCCTACCCTCCTCCTGTGTTTGAGTTAGCTGGGCCCCCACCCTTACCTCGGGAGCCCCTCACCCCCGGCCTGGACCCTGTCTCCCCCCCACCCCGCCTGGTGCTGCTGCACTCGGCTCTGCCTCTGCTGGCCGAGGATGATGTGGCAATGCCATGTGTCGTCCTCTGAGTGCCGCTGCTACCGTCTGAACGGCTTCTCCCTGCTGAAGCGCTTCCCTCTCTCGGCAGATGGGGCCTGTGGTAAAGCCCTGGACCAGCCGGTCGGAGAGTGGCTGGAGCACGTGGGGCTGCCGCAGTACGAGAGCAAGTTCCTGCTCAATGGCTTCGACGACCTACGATTCATGGTGAGTCACCTGCAGCATGTCATCTCAGAGGTCGCTTCCACTTTACATCACTCCGTCTGTCCCCGTGTCAACCCCGCCGCATTTGTCTTTTAGTGTCACCACTCTGCTCTCTCACCCTCTGCTTGTCTGTCAGCTTCTCCACTCACCCTCTCCCTCTCTCTCCCCAACTCACCCCACAGCTCCCTTTCCGCTCTCTCTCCTCTTCACCTCCTGTGCAATGCATGACCCTGCTAAGATTTATGGCCCATCACTGAATCCCTTTAAAGAATATGGGCTGTCACCAATGGAAAGACAAATTACAACCAAAACCCATTAACTTTTTCCCAGCATTTCCAACCGTGCTATCTCATTTACTGTAAATTCTAAAGCCACTTCCTCTACCCTTTATATTGATTCTTTTGATTTACAGTCGTCCCACTTGACTTCTATATAGATATAAATAGATAACCTGCACAAACAATAAACCAAAACGCGCTGTAGTTGCATGGTTGCTTGCCAAATCTCACTAAATGCTCTACACATTATTATGCTTATGAGAAGGTCCTGCAAAAACGGCACAATATCTGATTAGACTGCAGCAGCATGCGTATGTTCAAATGCAATGCAAACAAATTTTTTGCATGCAGACATTTATTTGGGGTACACATTTATGATGACACTAGTTCATAAATGATCAAAAGCCACATGGATGTCCACTGTGATGAACATGATAACAAAAATAAATTCAAAGCATTGACACATATTGCAGTTTTAAATAGCCTCCATCAGATTACATATTGATAAATGAATTCGACTGTAGTAAACAGTCTGCCTGAAAGCATTATCATGTTTCCCGTAGAGAACATTGCAGGGGAACTTGATATTGCATTCGGTCATGATTGTAGAAAACGCTATTTCGTTTCCAATCCCCTGGACATGTTGCTCTGAAAAACATGGCTACACACTGTAAATAATAGGCCCAAAGGGTAAACACGGACCTTTCTCACACCACAGAGTTGCATTTGCACTATGGGCTATATGTTACATCAGTTTGTCACAGCTGAGCTCACTTAAGTGAGACCAGTAAGCTCAGAGAGAAAGTGGTTGTATTCATAAAGCGTTCCAGTTGAGGACTGCTGCTCTCTGATCTTTTCTTACTGGTAAGTCCGTATGCACACGTGATCACTATGAGGTGCTATGGAGATACAAGCTGGTTTGGGAGCAAATAAGGGCCATTTTCAGGGCTAGGCCCAATATTTTACAATTTGGTTATGCGTTTGAAGGCAAGGAATTTGATTAATTTTGAGTTATGAATATTTGTTGTTCTTTTTTAACCCCTTGGGACTAAAAATGTGTGTTCATGTGTGCAGGAATATCTTAAACAACAAGGTTTCACAAGATTGATTGTAAAAAAACAAAAGCAAAATGATTTAGCATTATTGGTCTGTTTCTTTGGTGATTTGGCTCCTGATCCATAGCTTTGTTTGGATAACTTGGTGTACCTTGGGATCATGGGATCAAAAATGGAAGCTGTATGAAAGTTATTAGGCTAATGTTTATGAAGGCTATCGTTTAGCAAACCTCCTCATTAGACAGTCTGAATCCTATGATTTGATGTCAGCAACAAACGGATTGGCTAGTCAGCTCAATCGTAAATACAGCATAAAAATGTGTGCTCAAAACTCTTAGCTTGTAACTTCAGTGTTGCATAGACAGAGGGACAGTTTGTTGGTCTGTCTCAGACTTTGGATAACCCAATTTTCTATTCCTGCACACATTTAAATGCAAATTCACTAAATATGTCTGCAGCTACAGACACTTTACATATATGTAATTGGAGATACATGCAAGCAAAGGATTTTTACAGGCACAAAACATTCAGCTGCAGGCTTTACAATGACTTGTAAAACACATTTTACAGCTTCAAAATAATAGTGAACCTTATTTGCTCCCATAAACTCAGATTTGTATTTGTTAATGAAGAGACAACAAGCCCAAAGGAGTAGTATATTATAATACTATGAAGTCGGAGTAAAAGGAATACAGGGGGGGCGTAAGCTGGAGTAAGCTTATAGTACATATAAAAACGTTGTTTATCTGTCGAACAATAAGTCATAAATCATGTCAGTATAGAAATACTAAAGGTTGACAGTTGGCCTTAATTAAGATACACTCTTTATCCCTGTATACGTAACATTATCGTTTGTAATAATATAGTTTATTATTTGGAACTTCAATTGAGAAACAGTATAAAGATACAATTACAATTCTGGTCTTTACCTAAACTAATATATTGAATGCCTGACAAATAAAAGGTATTTAACATAATTTATGTAAGAATCCTCCAAATCCAATATTGCCATAAATCAGCCCTTCTTATTGATCGGCAGCATGGCCCACAATAGCTTAATGCAACCAGGGATACTAGCTAGCTTAGTTTTATACGTATTTCAAAATCTTTACTGGTTGACACAAATATTTCATCGCCCCCGCTGTGTATCGCCCGACACTGGTGTGCGGATATCAAAACAGTAGAAAGAAAACAAAGCAAGCTCCTTTGCTTATTGGGCCGGAAGATTCCATGTTGATCAAGATTTCCGGGACGTAATGTGGTGGGAAAGATGGGTCATTAAGCAATCTTATGTTCACTTACATGCCACGACTAATGTGTCTGCCGGACTTGATGCATCAAAGAGATAAATCATTAATTTCACAAGGCAAATTACCCATGGATATTTACAAGGCTGTGGAAGTAGCAAACAAGGGAAAGGTCAGAGTAGTCAGGCAGACATTGGTGAATGTTTAATATTGTGCCCTTTTGGTTTCTGCCAGACCTCTCTCAGATGTCATCAATCAGAGCGTAAACATCATGATTTGTTTGTGGGATTCACTGTCAGTCAAATAATTTCACCATTACTCTTTTTACTTTAGCGTTGTGCTTTGTTGCTCCCATGTCCAAACTAATGTGGCATTGAGGCAAATTGTCTAGTGCAAAATATCTTAGAAGTCACTCAGCCTGCATTTACATTGCATCTTCCCTGCATTAATATTGCATCATATTCTGCAAACCCTCTCTTTCTGCAATGTTATAATGTGGAACTGAACATACATATTATAACACTTAATTTAAGTCTTCTTTATACGCCATATTATTGTAACAGCGGCTGACTCTTGAGAAAAGCAACAAAATTCAATTTTTTTCGAAACAATTCCCCTGTGGTGAAGAGCAATAGAGCAATTCTAATTCACTGTTGCATTAACTGAGTGCATTTAGTGAGATGAAGGACTTCTACCATGGCTACATCTGCAAGTCGTATCAGATTAAATCAAACCACCATTGCTCATAAGCTATGTAAGAACTCAACCATACATTCCTGTCACATGTTTCAAATGCAGCATGAAATAATAAGTGTGCAGAGTCTCCTGAGGCATCATCAAATTTCAAACCATGTTAATAAAAGTGGAGAATCTATTTTGGGTCTCCCTAACATCAGACTTCGCTTCATTTTGACCTTTATTCTAGCCATCAGTGAGTAATCTCCAAACTGCACCCTGATACAGGCCTGTGAATACTGCTGCATTGTGCTCTGAAGCCAATCCAGTAAAAGCAGATTGAGTAAAGACCACAGAACATTTTAACATTCTTGGCCAGGAAGAATCAATCCGCAGCAGTCCACAGGGAAAAAACGCTTAGCTCCACATTTTCAAGGTTCTCCTTGTATCTTTATGGCTGCCTATAAACCAGAATAATATGACAACGCAGCAGGAGTCGCAAATATGAAATAGACAATAATCTGCTTGTCATTCAAGATTTGAAGAGGTGGAAAATGATTGTTGTTCCATTGTTTCAATGTCCTAAATTAAGGAATTGTAACAAACTGGAGGGAAAAATGGTTGGTTCCTCTTGGAATATTTCGATGTGCCTCGATGAAACACAGGGATCTTGTAGATGCTGCTGCAGTTATGAAGGCTTTGTTCCCTCTGAGTCGCACCAGTTCAGATTGATTACTCTTGGCATGCACAATTCATTTGACTTCATTGTCCTCCCACTCTGCTGTTACTGCTTGTGTCAGAGATGTGTGTGTGTGTGCATGTGCTAACAAGCAAGTGTGTTAGCTGCAATGTTGACCCAGTAGTTACAGTGTAGAAAGAGTCATGATACTTTCCCTGGCCTATGGTCTTATAAAGGTATTATATCAGTATATTGTGCGTAAATACTGTATGCCAGTGTATGTTTCAATAGCTGCACTGATATACAGTATATTATAATTGATAACTGATTATTTTAATGTGTTGTATTACTGTACGTATGTCCATATTGTGTATTGTCTGTGCATGTGCTTGTGTCTATGTCTTTATTTGTTTGCATGCGTGTGTGTGTGTGTGTGTATGAGTGGCTGTGTGTGTTTGTGTGTGTGCCTGTGTGTGGATGTGTTTATTTGTGTGTGTGTGTCCTGCGTTTGTGCACATGTAGGGAAGTAACGTGATGGAGGACCAGGATCTCAGAGACGTCGGGATCACTGACCCAGGACACAGGAAGAAAATCCTCCATGCGGCACGCAGCTTGCCCAAGGTACTTAACATCACAACTTAACCTCGGCACTGAGGGGTGACCGACTGTGTCTCAGCGACAAAGGTCAAGATGTCATGTTTACAAAAATAGGACATATGAATAAAAATAGATAACACAGTAAAGGGAGAAAGGTTACACTTGTGAAGAGATACTGTGGTTCCTTAGAGTTTAAATAAAAAACTTCGAAAAATAACATTTTTCCACCACTGACACCATAGATTTAAGGGTAAACAAGTACATTAAAAAAACTTCAATTATGACTTCTTATTGCACTATATTGCTAACAGTCATTTTTAAATACTACCCCCAAAATGCATTACAAGTAGTATTGGAGCCTGGGATATTTACGACTTGTCTATATTATACTGAAAGGGCTGCACATGGGTTGTAGAACCTGGGCTAAATGTTAATAATTTATTAAAAGCCTGCAATTGTGGAGGGTAAAAGGCTAAGCAACAATCATGCTAGAGGCTTTGTAAGGCTGCAAACAGGCACAGTAGTTGTTTGAGCTAAATGCTAACATCAGCATTGTGACAATGACAATGCTAACACGCTGATAAGGTATAATGTTTACCATGGTCACCACCTTTTGTTAGCCGGTTAGCCTGCTTACATCTGCTCTAATAACAAATGATTGAACACATTTTGATAATAACTTGAAAAAAAAAAAAAAGTCCAAGGCTCAACAAAACTGTTCGTATTCTTCCCAGGGGATTTTGAATAAAGTAGAACATTTGCCACCGATACATCCATTCTCTCTCTAACTGGAAAACAAGCATATATACTCTACATTTCATTGCAAAAAGACATGCGTCTCTCCTTCTCTCTAGGTGAAAGCACTGGGCTGTGATGGCAGCACGTCTCTTGTGTCCTGGCTGGACGGCCTCGGCCTGCATGAATATCTGCCCAACTTTCTTTCTAGTGGCTACCGCACACTGGAGTGTGTCAAGAACCTGTGGGAGCTGGAGATTATCAATGTGAGAAGCCTTCTCTTACATGTATTCACTGTTTGGATTTCAATGGAGGAGAACAAAATGTTCAGTGTCTCATGACGATGGACTGTCTCTTTGTGAATCATCTCCTTAATCACAATTATGTCTCCGTTAATAGAATATGTTTGAGGTTGATACAAACTTTCAAATGCAATGCTGAAGTAATAAAAGTGCCAAATTATTGAAGCATTTTTCATAATACTATAGCAGAAATATTTGTAGTATCGCTGAGTAGTAACTGACTGATGGAATGTGAATTATGGAGCCGCATAGAGACTGGTGACAGGAAAATTAATACATTTATTTAGTTTTTATCTAAATCGTGTAACATTTTATGATAATTGGTAATTACAAAGAGGACATATTTATTTTGCATTGGAGGTTTTTCGAGAAACGCAATTAGCTATTTGTTTGTGTGCAGGTGTGGATTTGTCTCTGTGCGTCAGTGTGTTCTTTTAGACTACAGCATCCTCATGGGATCCCAAGATAAATCAACATGATTAACTGGACAGGAAAGAAAAAAATCTATCATGCTTTGCTACAAAATTACCTCTTCCTGACGTTTCTTTAATCTTCAATTTATCATGACATACGGGCTTGGTAATAAGCACCATGTAGACATGAAATGGTGGATGTTTTGACAGGCAAACAGATGATCTGATCTGGTTGATAAGCACTCACAGACGGCAGTTTACGGAGATCATATTTCTCCCACTTATCTCTGCATCTGTATGTGTTTCATTGTGATGAACACAAAGGAAATGGCATAAACCAGCCATAGCTGCAGCATTAGCACAGCAGGAAAGCAGCAGCCAAATCCACTGTATATGCAGTATGTGAGGGAAGGAGTCCAGCACACTGCGATGGCGATGCAGTAAAGAAAGATGGGTGTGAGAGCCGAGCACATTACTTTCAGTGTGTGAGCTTCCTGGCAGGACTCCCATTACATTTCCTACATCCTCTTCAGCATCTTAGGATCAGCCATCTATGAAGTTTATATTTGATCTATGCGCTGGTGTACATTCTCAAATAATCCCAAGGCTCTTTATTAGTATTTAAATGTTCTCTTCTTTCACACACCTTATGCACACTGGTCTCTCTGGGATCCTGCTAAAGGGAAACGGCAGCAGCTCACAGACCAGTTGCCTCATCTGCCTCCGACTCTCACTGAATACATAATTGAAGCCTTCAGACAAAGAGTCATACGAGCCTGTTATAGAATGTTTTGCAGCTGCAACATAATTGCGAATGTAACATTAATCACTCGACATCCACCTTTACTGGATGAGCATGAATGTTAATAGCCAATTATGCAAATATACAGAATCAAGATAATGAGTTTTGACTACAGTAAATTAACCCTTGCTTCCTCCTTTGAGGGTTTTAGCCACACAAGCGGATCTGGCATTTGTAAAAGATTTAAAGAGACAGCGATATCGTGGATATGCGTGTGTCAGGTGAACTTGCAGTGGTGAAATAGTTAATTAAAAAACAAATTGAAATTGTGACTAATTAAGAGGATCTGTTCGATGGAGCCTTTGAAAATCAGTTTTTTTTGCATATTACTTCTTATCCTCCTGTAAATCGCCACATTCTTCTCTGTTATTTAGGAACCATGTCCAAAAATGGATCGTGAATTATAGAGTGTCCCAGGAAAGAGACAGCGCTGTACTTTAAGCTTACGGCAAAATAGATTGAGGCTGAATTATTGACGAGCGTCATTTCTGTTTGCCTGTGGATGCCTGCCAGTGAGGGTTGCATGCCACAAACTCTGTCAGTGTGTTTTGGATGTATCTCTATTAGCTTAGTCTAAGTAAATGCTTGTGTTTGCAATGTGACAATGCACTGTAAGGTCTTATGTTGTGTCCTCTCCAGGTTATAAAGATTGGTGCCCTGGGCCACAGGAAGAGGATCATTGCCTCTCTAGCAGAGAGACCCTATGAAGAGGCTCCGTCCAAGTCCCGTCGTCTGTCCCCAATTATGGTAAGACTGGTGATGTGGAAATTGTAACACTGTCTCGTAAAAAAAAATGACCTTCCCATAGAAATAAACTGAATTCTCAATTACATTATGACAGAAACTTGGCTTACCTGGGTTAGGGTTTTCCAACACAAATGGAAACAAAACAAAAACTTCACTTGGTTCATTTTAGTCAACAAATCTACTTGGTTAGGTTTCGTAAAAAGATCATGGTTTGGCCCAAAATAATGATGTTTGTCTAGTTGTCAAAGTTACAGACTTAAATTAAAAAGTCAAGTCCTTTGTTGGTTTGACACATTCATCTCCCCCAAACATCATTCTTACATGTGGTTTGGGAAATACAGGTGGAAACATGCAGTTCCCAGTCACAGTATTTAGCTTTTCACTAGGTGACACTTGACACTAGACTTTGCTCTACAATCTACAAAAACAGAGCAAAGTCCGCATATCATTTTTTCCAAAGCACCTAAGACCCCGTTTACATGGACGATACGGGTTGTATTCGCATAGTTTCTCTTGCGTATAGCCCTTTTGTTTACACGAGGCCGTAACAAAACGATAGAAACGGACCCCGCAAACGATAACGGTTCCCAAGGTGGATAGATCTGCAAACGGAACACTCTGGGGGGTCAAACGGATCCGTCTGTACGCCTCTATACGATCGTTTTCTGATAACGATGAAATAGCCCCGCCTCCCTCTCCCCACCTCTCCTGCTCAGAGATCAGCTGTTGGGCTGTCAGAAGAGGGGGAGGAAAAGAGAGGCTCCGTTTTTTATTCTTATATTATTATATAGAGTCGTTATCAATTTGTTTTAAAGCTCAATAAATAACAAAGAAGACCTCTGACCGGCACTTTTCTAATTTTGTTCGGAAGATTTAAACTTTAACGGACATGTTGACCGGCGGAAAAAAATGTTAACGGAAACTCTGCCGCACGGTTCCCTCGTCCCTTGGAAGAGGCGGAGAGGTGGGTGTTTTTCATCTGCTGGTGGACTACCGGAGAGATTTACAGCAGGAGCACACGCCGTCCACCGCGGAGAATAAACAGAAGGGCAACCATGGCAACCATGCTCCGGGGTCTTCTTCGCTGCTTTTGGTGTATTTTGTGGCGGCAACAGCGCCACTTACAGGCCCGGCATATGTACTACAGTGTTTCCAGCGGTCTCGTGTGAATGGACACGTTAATTGAGCCGAATGCGTGTGAACGGAAGACTTTTTTGAAAACGCATACGGTGCGTAAACGCAAACGTTCCCGTGTAAATGGGGTCTAAAGTACCACCATTGTTAATCAGACTGCAGCATTGTTAGTGCTGCTATTTAACTAAGTGCAGAATAACAGTCAAAGCTAATTTGGTTAATAGATTGGGTGTGCTCAATATGCCCAATTAAAAGGGCTGTTCTGCTTATGGCTTCAATACAACCCATATTTAGTGTCAATGATGTCTATAATAAATACTTTTCTTTTTTTTATATGTTCACAGTTTTTTCATTTTTCTTATATGGTTCAGTATTTCAGTAGATTGATGATCACAATCCTGAAAAAGCGTAGGATGGAAGTTAAACAACATTTCTAGACAAGCTTTATTTTTACGCCAACATAATTTTGTGAGAAAATGGAATCCACTGTTTTTTTTATAGCGGCGGATATCTAATTTTGGAATGAGATTCTTCAATATCATTATGTTCACAACAGTTAAATACTCAGGGCTGATTTCCCAGGCAGATTAAACCGGGCTAAAGAGAATTGAGAATCTCCACGGAAGAGGCTCTTTTGTCGGGGATTAGGCTTGGATGTAGATCAGGAAAACCAGCCCATGTAGACAGTGCTGTCAAATAATTAATCTAGGCTTTTGTGTGACTGTGGGTTTGTCTTCTTTTGTTGTGTGGCAGTTCCATGACCTCCTGTCCCAGAACACGTCCCCCCTCAGTCAGATGGACCCGTACACCAGCCGCTCCATGGACATGCTGCTGCCCTTGACTGAGTCGGACCGGAGGAGGAGAGCAGCGGATCAGGACTGTAGTGTTTCCCTGCGGTCGTACAGCGAGAGGCCGCGCTCTGTAGTGAGTTTCAACTCCCTTCACTTTTAAAGTCTTCTGGGAAAAAACCACCAAGCACAAATAGAGGAGGATGATGTTCAAAGTTGTAGATGTGTCAGGGTGTCTTGTCACACGTTGTTGCTGGAGTTGTATTCACATTTTCTCAAACGCAGAGTAGTTCTGCAAAAATAAACCTTCATGGTTGAGTTCAATCTTAGTGGGCAGACACAAAGAGCCACAAAACCATCAGACTGTAGCAAAAGAAAAACTGCTAAGGGGGTAATGGGGGTTAGGCGATGTGACAATGTAAAGTACAGCAGTGTGAGATTATATGAATGGCCGGTCATCCTTTTGTAGCTATCTTTTTATCTGTCTGGATAAGGCCATAAAAAATGATAACAAGGTAGGATTACTGCAGGGTTAGGGTTACATAACAAAAGGGGAGGACTGTAAAATAACATATTCTAGATGTCCTCAAGAGACTTCTATCAATGCATGGTGATATGGATATATTGAAAAAGAATTGTTGCAAATTTGATACCACAATATAGAAAATGTATTTAATAACATTACTCCTATTCAAGGTAATGAACTCTGAAGTATTTAAAGATGGGGTAGGTAATTTTGGAGAAACCAGCTCGAGTGCGCTAGAATTTGAAAATACACAACCGGAGAAAATCTGCCACTTCCTTACAGAGCCTCTCCTCCAACACACACGAACGCGCACATGACCAATGAGGGCACGAGATAAGTTTGTGCACAGATGGAAGGCTGACAGGCAGGTAGGCCATCCAGTTATTTTAGCCGGGCCGGCTGGTCGTACTTTTTACAGTACTACGGCTTCCACAGATGACATTTTTTTATGGATTTTTTGTCAAAGCACTTAAGATATTCATTGCTATCGGGATGTTAAGAGCATTCCATGGAATATAACAAAAAGTGTATCTCGAGCCGGTTTCTCAAACTTACCTACCCCACCTTTAAGTGTTGCATTATCTCAGACAAAACTCTTCAAATATGTCAAATTAAAACTGAAATGACTCATTTATGTCTTCTAAGTCGTTGAATAAGATCATTCATTTCGATTTAAATATTTTCACTGAGAGTTAAAACATTACAGTCATGAATTATTGTTCTACCAGCGATTTTGTTCAATCTAGCCATAATATATCTGTTCAAGTAATCTGTTAGCTACTGCAGCACATTACATCTCCATAATAAAATCCATAAAGTTCAGCTTGGAGCACGCAAGTTAACCTACTTCTTTATTTAACTCTCACACACACACACACTCATACATGCGAGCCCCGTGCCTTCTCACTGTGATGGTATAGCATCCCTCAGGGCGGCCTACTCCTGCACCCCCCTCTGCCCCGCCCAGCGACCCACACCGACCTCTCTTTACCTGCAATGACAAAACACTCCTGCGGCCCCCCCCCCTCGGTACACCCTCCGGCAGCCTCCCTTCCTGTTGCTGCTGCAGCCGATGGCGGAGCCCTGGAGCAGATGATCCTGGACTGATCTCATTTTACAGTGGCCCTGCTCTCTCAACCAAACTGCCTCTTCCTCCTCATCCTCCTCCTCCTCCTGGCAACTTGCATCTGCCTCCAAATCCCCGATAGCTCCCAGAGGTTGCATCTTTATTGTTCTTCTTCTTTCACACCATTATTTTTTTGTATTGATTCTCTGCAGGCAAAACAAGCATTTTCATATGATTTGATTAACTTTGTATCTAGATTAACATTGGGTTTGTTAAATGTACAGAAATGGTAAACTTGATCATATTGGGTAAGCTAAAAACTTGTGTTATACCAAAACAGCCAGTGTGTTAAGCTGTTAGAGGAAACATTTTGTTTTCTTGCAGAGAGATAGGTAGGAATATTGATACCACTCTCAGGTCTGTACAGTAAATATGAAGCTGCAGCCAACAGCCAGCTAACTTAGTGTATCATGAAGACTGACAAAGCTAACGTGGCTCTATCCAAAGGCTGAACAAATACCCAAGGTTTTGTACACTTAAAGGTGGGGTAGATAATTTTGGAGAAACCAGCTCAAGTGCGCTAGAATTTGAAAATACACAACCGGAGAAAATCTGCCACTTCCTTACAGAGCCCCTCCTCCAACACACACGAACGCGCACATGACCAATGAGGGCACGAGATAAGTTTGTGCACAGATGGAAGGTTGACAGGCAGGTAGGCCATCCAGTTATTTTAGCCGGGGTCGGCTAAAATGATTGGTCGTGCTTTTTACAGTACTACGTCTTCCACAGATGACATGTTGTATGGATTTTTTGTCAAAGCACTTAAGATATTCATTGCTATCGGGATGTTAAGAGCATTCCATGGAATATAACAAAAAGTGTATCTCGAGCCGGTTTCTCAAACTTACCTACCCTACCTTTAAGTGTTGCATTATCTCAGACAAAACTCTTCAAATATGTCAAATTCAAACTGAAATGACTCATTTATGTCTTCTAAGTCGTTGAATAAGATCATTCATTTCGATTTAAATATTTTCACTGAGAGTTAAAACATGACAGTCATGAATTATTGTTCTACCAGCGATTTTGTTCAATCTAGCCATAATATATCTGTTCAAGTAATCTGTTAGCTACTGCAGCACATTACATCTCCATAATAAAATCCATAAAGTTCAGCTTGGAGCACGCAAGTTAACCTACTTTTTCTAGCGCATTCTGGTTGTTGGCTCCATTTAAACTCACCCTCAACAGCTCTGATGTAAGAAATATTAAAAATAAACATTTTATAAACATACAAATTCAGTTAAGCATTTCATTTGCTGATATGAATTGGGTTCTAATGTGCTTCCCTGAATTTCTTGGGTTTCTATATTAAATATGTTTCATTAATCAAAGGTTATGATTTGCTAAAGGTCAAACCACGACATTATGCACAAACAGTTAATCTGACATGACTCATTTCCTACTCACTAAGGTCAAAGAGAAAACACAGACACGCGTACAAAGATAACACCCCCACCACTCAGGAGCCATTATATTTTTAAATCAATACTTATCTTTTTTATAAATGCTTAGTGGATAATTGTCAGTAGTATATTTTACTCTGATGGGTGATTTATGAAAGAGCTGAGCCCAGTCATGTGCATGAATATTTATGAGTATAACAACAGATCACACAGGACTCACACTAAAGTGCTGACCGAGCAGACTTCAGTTGGCTTCATACCAATACCCAGCAGTCAGAAGTCTAATATGCTCAGAACACTTTGATCATCAGTGTTGCTTGACTGACTGAGGTGTGCATATGTGAAGAAAAGTGTCCCAGCAGAAGAAACTCAGAGGATGTCCCTGCCCTAAAGTATTTTATGTCACAATAATATTTGTGATTTTGATTCATTCATAATTGTGTAGCTATCTCTTTAATATATTTGGATGTAATAGAACATGTTTGAAAGTGTTGGATAAGGATTTTTATATTATTTTTGCATCAACATGATTTGTCTGTATTTTATATTCTGTTACATAAAAACAATTATATCACGGAAGGATTTACGGTTGCATTTGACTGAATTAGTTTTAGCTAGGTATAGCTAATAAACTGGAAACTGAGTATAGGTAGATGCAGAGGGGGGACTGATGTCAAACCTCCTCAATATGTACCTGATAGATCTCTATTATGGCTTCTGGATATGGAATTATAAAAATATCAGTTCCTATGCCCCTTATAGAATAATTTCGTTTATTTTATGTCGTAAATGTGAATTGTGATTTTTCCAACCAATGATTTTGCCTCCCTGCAGGACAGACAGAGTGAACGACAGAAAGACTCTCGTTTAAACCTCCGGCCTCCGAGCCAGTCTGCTACCTACGCCACGGTGTCCGCCTGGCATCACCAGCCTGAGAAGCTCATCCTGGACTCCTGCGGATACGAGGCCACCGTAAGTCACTTCTTTAAAAAAAAAAAAAAAAGAAGGTATTTTCGGGCCAGAGGGCCTATATGAAGAACTTAGAGTGAAAGGGACACTTTAAGTCCTCCCCTCTGTCTCTTTAAGACAATTGCATGACCGGCCTATAGTGACTGCATATGGGCCGTCGCTCTAACCACTGAGCTATCCGGTGGCCCCGTAAGTCACTTTTTACTGTCTTTAGCTTGGAGGCAGACACACTGTTTCTATACAATATAGATGACAGAACCGCCTGCCATTGCATAAAATAGTTTGACAGGGATATTTAATTTTAAATACTGCATCTAGTGGTTCCATTGTATATCGTTGATTTGATATGTGTGTTCGACTCTCTCCCAGTACCTAGGATCAATGATCATCAGGGATCTACGAGGGATTGAGTCCACACAAGATGCCTGTGCTAAAATTAGGGTAAGTATTACTGAACAAAGATGTGTAATTTTAATTGCTCTGAGGAACATCTCAGAAGTGTTTAATGGACTGAAATAAATACAAATTTCACAAAATAAAAAACAAAAACATGAAATGACAAGGTGACAAGAACAAATACAACTGACAATGACTTTTCCCTGTATAATCACTTCCTAAATAATATCTCTGTTATTACATTATTGTTGCACTGTTTGTTAGGAAGAGCCAAATGCTTGTCCTGTTGTTTATACTCACATTTTAATTGTGTCCATTACAGAAATCAAAGGATTCAAGAAAGGGTCCAGTAGTCATACTGTCCATTACCTACAGAGGGGTCAAGTTTATTGATGCAGCCACGAAGGTAATGTGAAAGTATGTGTGTGTGTAAGATTGTGTGCGTCAGTGTGTATCGATCTGTCCGCAAACATTGCAGTGGACTCGCTCAGTCTCCATTAGCGCTTGATTTCCAGTAGGAACTCACTTCCTTCCTTTCTCCATTAGACTATAGTGGCGGAGCATGAGATCAGGAACATTTCGTGCGCCGCCCAAGATCCGGATGACCTCTGCACTTTTGCTTACATTACCAAGGATCTGAAGAGTGGACACCACTTCTGTCACGTCTTCAGCACAGTGGAAGTGGTGAGTGCATCCTGTTAGAGTAAGAATAATATGAATATGTCTGTAACTGTTCCGTGTAATCCATCGAGGAAACCCAAAAAACTTTACATCATTCTTGAGCTTTTGAAAAATTCCTTCCACCATAACTTCAAAAAAACAAAGTGCCATTTGTGGGTTATCTGGTATCCTGCAGTCAAACCACATGCAGCATACTGTGGACATTATTCCCTTGATTGATTCATCAAATGGCTTGATTGAAGTTCCTCTCCCGCTATGCATGGCATTTTTATGTACAGGCACAGATTATGTTGTAATTCGTGTCTCATGTTCTGTAAAGGTCAAAGACAATCTTTTATCATTGGCAGGTGGGCCACTGTGAAGCATCCCATAACTGCAGGGAATCTGTTTTACTGAGTGATGATCAAAGTTTTCACCAGTTTTGATCTTCACTCATTTGTAACACGACACCGCTTTAGCTTTTCCCTAAGCATGTGCATGATATTTAAACGAGCCAACATATAATTATACACAGTTATTATCCAAACAATGTGAAGAGTAGCGCTTTTGTGTGGCATGGCTTTATTTTTGTGTGTGAAGCACAATTAATCGCTGAAAACAGGAATTTAGAAACTAAAGAAAATAATGGTTACTCCAATCAAGTCATAAGTCATTAGAATTAAACTTAGAGTAGATTTTAATCCTCTGAACTACTTGGTACGAAAAAACGAATACCAAATGTTTAGTCTCGTCCATGAAATGTTAGGCTTTTAATTAAGGTCGTTAGGCAAATTAAATAACAAGATGCCACGTCAAGATCAACATGTGCAAATATCAGTTTAATCGCATAAACGGACAACCCTGAATTACATTTAGCAAAGCCCAATTCTGAAAGACTTTGCTAGTCATTTCTTCCTAGTCTTCTTAAAGTTCTCCACTGCTTCAATGAGTGTCAGACATCATTAAAGATAATTACATTCAATTTCAGCCAAGCATAAAAGGTTTTCATGCCCATTGAAGTATTGAATTTAAAAAGCATACTCTATTGAGCTGCCTGTTGTTGTGTCGTGGTGATTGTGTCATTCACGTGTTGTAAAACCCGTTGTTTTGTGTCACTTAACACCAGCTTCAAAGGTTGATGTTTAACTTTTATTAAAAATGATTGACCTAACTTTATATTCGGTGGTGAATTTGATTTCAACACACTTTTTCGACAATATTTCTTTCCTCCACACAGACACAGACATATGAGATCATCCTCACCCTTGGGCAGGCGTTTGAGGTGGCCTATCAGATGGCAATGCAGTCGAGGGCGAGACACTACGTCCCGCCTACATCTCTGCCCTCGGAGGTCATAGAGACCAAAACCAGCCGCCCTGTGTCTCAGTCGTGGAACAGCATGCGGAGATCAGCAGTGAGTACCACCGTACAACTCTTCAGGAAAAACATGGTGTGCACTTATCATCTGTGAGCGTGTGAGTGTGCTCTAGTTGTTAATGGGACAGGGGGGGTGGGGGGAAACATGGAGTTGTACAATCATAATTAAGAATAGGTACGCAGATCTCATGACCGACTTTTTCCCAGTGACTTAATCCCCAACGGGCCACCTAGAGAGGAATATTTGCTGTGTGTTGTAGAAAGTGATGAGTCATGACTTTGCTGGCAACTTCATCCCGCCCACTCCTCAACGCTTAGTCATTCAGAACAGGCACTTTTTTTTTTTGCACATGTGAAACATGATGAATGAATACTTTTATTTGTTGCGGGTATATGATTTCCTCTGGGACTTCCTGAAGTCTGGTGGTTAGACCTATGCTTCTTCACTATTGATCGAGCGATTTTTGTAAATGTTCACGTATAGCCTCAGCTGTGCATCGATGCTTTGACTTTGCTGCACAGCCGGGAGCAGGCACACTGCTAGACCACATGTGCATAGACACAATTCACTTTGTTTTACTACCTGCCTGTAAGGATAATATATGGAGTAATCACAGATCTGCATAATGAGTCTCGCTGGTTGTTTAAGTTTTAACTGAGAGGGGGGAGACGCCTATCTGCTTCAATTTGTTTTAAGGGTTTTTTTATGGCTCTGTAATGGCTTCCAAATCAAACGTTGGTTTGAACAGACTGACAGCCGCACACTTATGTGTGTATGCTGTTTGCAATGATAACCGTTACAGATTTACCACTTTAAGAGAGATTTATTTGATTGGCTAAAGAATAAACTGTTGTGTTGACTGGCTACTTGTGAAACAATCCAGTCATAGACTTTATCTCTCGAGTCCATTCTTGCATCTCAAGTTGCTTATCAGGAATGATCTTGGCCCGGATATCCGTTGCCTTCAAGTTTATTTTTCCATGGTAGGCGGAGGCATGGCCCACCCTGCTCCGCCTCTGATTGGCTTTGAAGTTGTTGCCTTTTGTTATTTGGATTGTTTAGTGTTGGCATGAGGGGTCATGGCTAAGGGTAAGAATATCATGGTAAGCCACTCAGAGGCAGAGCATGGGGTTAATGTCTTTGCCATCCTATGAAAAACTAATTTGCACAGTAAAAATATAGCTAGTTAGCTAATTAAGCTAGTGATAGCTCCATTAGTTTACTGTAAAGGAAGTACTGTAAATGGATCATAATTTGATGGCTACAAACATTTCTGTTCTGATGTTTGGAGGTGCCTATACCACTAATGATTGATTTGGTAAAGTCAGATTGCTAATATGACTACTCTATATATTTGTTTGAAGTGAAGAAAGAGACAAAAATGGGTCACTAATTCAAAATGGAAAGGTGAAAAAAAATTGTAACAGATGACCTGCGCATCTGCAGGATGTATTCTTCATCCCTGTCATGCAACGCTGTGAGGACATGGACAAAATGGAGTTATGAATTATTTAAGTCTTAACTTTCCTACTTAGGCTTAAGTAAGTTACACTAAGTCATCCTGACTGCTGGCAGTGTAGTCCTATCCTGTACATTTTAGATTTTTTAAATCTACATTCTAGCCTTGTTTTTGTCGTCAATCATAATACTTGTTGATACAGTCACAGTAAGTGTTTGATGTCAGTGCTGTCATATTGTCTTGTATTAGTCGTGGACAGAAAGGTAATTGACAAACATATTGTTGGTCATAGTTTGTGTTTATGAACTGAAAACTGTCCTACGCTCTGATTGTCCAGGAGAAAGCTTGATAGACCTGCGTTTCAGTGGAAGATTATAGCAAAATAAATGTTACTATTCCAAGACACAAGAAGTAAAAGACTATATTTTGCCTTAGCACAGATGATAAACTGCTACCACTAAGTCTTCTTTGTCCCTCTTTACTCTCTCGTTTTTTTTAACATGTCTTTGTTCTTGTCTTCTTGGTCCTCCTGCCTCCCAGGGTGCCCCTCCGCTCGAATGCCGCTGCTGTCACTGTCACACGTGTACTACCCACCGCCCCTCCTTCCTCCCGTTGCACTCTGTTAGCCCCGGAGTCCAGGTCCTTCTCTTTCCTTTCCTCTATTCAACCTGTGATCACCTCACACATCTGCTTACACACCCACCCCCCCCCCTCTTTGGTTTCTGTTGTGGTGCCGCAGCGGGCTTTGTCTCCTTGTTTCGTGGTTCTTAGTCTTTCTTCCATTAACGTTCTCCTCATCCTTTTACTTTCCCATCGCTCATCTTCATCTGACATTTTAGGGTTGTAGTTGCAATGAGTGGTAGGGAGAGGGTCTTTTGATGTGAACTACCTTCTCTATATTAGCCTTTATTAGCACGGTTTGCTCAATTGTGTCAAGATGGTGGAAGTTGTCTTTGTGGATGGTTTTAATAGTTTTCCGTCACTTTTTATAGTTCTATCTTTTTAAGACATGTTGTTAACAGGGAATCTTAACATTTAGAAACCTTTCTTGAGATTACTTTTAACCATTTTGAATTCATAACAAGTTAATCAGTGTTAATGATGTGTGTTTTGACCACTTATATTCTGTTTGTTTGTCCCGCTGGTGGAGAGCACATGTTGCTTTTGAACTACTAATCAGTTTACATGTTTACCTCCCAGAGGCTGGTAGCTTTGGTTCACAGAGTGTGTTTCCTGTCAGACATCCTCCATGTTGTGGATTGAGTGTCTGTGATTATAACACGATCACCGGACCCCACCTCTAATCCACGTGCACCTGTGTGAGCCGAGGACTTCTGTGTCAGTCAGTGTGGCGCTGTGGCCTTCGTCTCACGCCCTCCTCTCGTCCGTCCCTCCTCCCTCCCTCCCCCCCCCGGCAGATGGACCCCCTGGAGATGGACGCAGACATGCACTCCATGGGCAGCACCACCTGGCTCTTGGACCAGCGGGACCCCCACAGGCGCCCCGTCAGCACCAAGTACGAGACCACCATATTCTGAGGCCGGACCCCTGCAGCCGCCCCTCTGCACTCCCTCGTACTTTTCTCTCCCCCCTGCATCTGGGTCTTTATTTAACTCTCACACACACACACACTCATACATGCGAGCCCCGTGCCTTCTCACTGTGATGGTATAGCATCCCTCAGGGCGGCCTACTCCTGCACCCCCCTCTGCCCCGCCCAGCGACCCACACCGACCTCTCTTTACCTGCAATGACAAAACACTCCTGCGGCCCCCCCCCCTCGGTACACCCTCCGGCAGCCTCCCTTCCTGTTGCTGCTGCAGCCGATGGCGGAGCCCTGGAGCAGATGATCCTGGACTGATCTCATTTTACAGTGGCCCTGCTCTCTCAACCAAACTGCCTCTTCCTCCTCATCCTCCTCCTCCTCCTGGCAACTTGCATCTGCCTCCAAATCCCCGATAGCTCCCAGAGGTTGCATCTTTATTGTTCTTCTTCTTTCACACCATTATTTTTTTGTATTGATTCTCTGCAGGCAAAACAAGCATTTTCATATGATTTGATTAACTTTGTATCTAGATTAACATTGGGTTTGTTAAATGTACAGAAATGGTAAACTTGATAATATTGGGTAAGCTAAAAACTTGTGTTATACCAAAACAGCCAGTGTGTTAAGCTGTTAGAGGAAACATTTTGTTTTCTTGCAGAGAGATAGGTAGGAATATTGATACCACTCTCAGGTCTGTACAGTAAATATGAAGCTGCAGCCAACAGCCAGCTAACTTAGTGTATCATGAAGACTGACAAAGCTAACGTGGCTCTATCCAAAGGCTGAACAAATACCCAAGGTTTAGTACACTTACTGTAAAGGTAGGGTAGGTAATTTTGGAGAAACCGGCTCGAGATCGCTAGAATTTGAAAATACACAGCCGGAAAAAATGTCCCACTTCCTTACAGAGCCCCTCCTCCAACACACACGAACGCGCACATGACCAATGAGTGCACGAGATAAGTTTGTGCACAGATGGAAGGCTGACAGGCAGGTAGGCCATCCAGTTATTTTAGCCGGGCCGGCTAAAATGATTGGTCGTACTTTTTACAGTACTACGGCTTCCACAGATGACATTTTTTAATGGATTCTTTGTCAAAGCACTTAAGATATTCATTGCTATCGGGATGTTAAGAGCATTCCATGGAATATAACAAAAAGTGTATCTCGAGCCGGTTTCTCAAACTTACCTACCCCACATTTAAGCACAAAACGTAAGAAATGTTCAAATACTTCAACTACTGTACAAGGACCATAATCAATTATTTGTTATCCATAAACTCACAAGTTGAATATCAAAGATATGCTTATGTACAGTATAAAGTATAAACAAATATTTCATATGGAAGCATATTTATTTAAAAATCCTGACCTTGACAATCCAATTTTCCATGGGATTGAATGACTTCCAAGTTGTATTGTTAGGAATAAGTGACTCTAAACTATATACAGTATAATACGGCAGTCTTTGAGAACAAATGGGTTTCAGAAGTAACTAACTTTAGAAGCTTTAGAGATGCTGGCATGTGGATTTATTTTCTAACCAGGCTAGCTAGCTCAAATTAGATTCAATTGCTGCTAACCTAAGCTAGCTGGCTGCTATCGTTGCTTCATATTAACCATACAGACGTTTGAGTGGTATCAATATAATAACTCTAACTTTAACGTGTCATTTTGATAAAGCAAAAAACAAACGTTTATTCTGTAAAAACTATTTTTGAACGTTTATTTTATCACCTTTAATTTCAACATTTCTGAATTGTTTTTGTGGTTTTGCCTCACAGACAGTTATATATATTTATTTTGTTCCTTTCTCCATCTTTAGCCTGTCCTGTCTCACCAGGCATCTACCACTGTGAGGCACTAAGAGGAGGCTGCTTTGATAAGCATGGGATGAAAGACGGACATTTAAATCAATGAAAAGACAAAACAGCAACATGCAGCAAACAACCTGTTGTTTTTCTACGCATTTGTACAATACTCATAACACCACGATGGATTGGTCGTGAACCTATCACGGATGATGTCTGGACTCAAATGGACCAAGAACTGAACCCTCGTACACACACACACACAGGAACTTTCCTACACTTTACAGAGGACAACAGCCTTACGTCATTTAGGTTATCTATAATCAACTAAAGCCCCCGACCTTGCTGAATATCACCACTACCCAACAACTGCACGCCTCCCCCTGCTTTTAAAAGACTGAAAAGAAGACGCCTCTTCTGATTTCCTGGTGTGTTTGTTGACTGACCGTCCGAACGACGTTCTTGATGGTACAGTTTTGTCCATATGAGAGTCGTTGCTCTGGCCTTTGACTGCCCTACCTGCAGTCTCTCAGCATTCATGGTAGCACAGAGAGACTGCTTTAATCACAGTATCTTCTTTGTCAATTTAAAACAAATAATATCACTGTGTTGAATCGTGGCACTATCCCTTTTAATACCTTCTTTTCTTTGGTGCATATAGAATATAAAGTGCATTTTGTGACTTTTTGATAGACCGGGTCGATTGAAAGGAAAGCGTGATTTAAGGAAGGGATCACGAAGGATCCAATCATTGAAACACACCACCAAAAATACTGTACTGACATTACATCTCGCAATTTTGGTCATCGCAACCAAAACAACGTCCTCAAACACATTTTCCCATTTGTATTTTAATGAGCCTGGAGCACAATTTGGCGCACATTTCCTAACATAGCATCCTATTATCATGATTACATGGGTAGCTATCCGTTCTGTTTCACACCAATTTTAGAATTAGCTACAGTACATGCAAAGTATGTCACTTGAAGATAAACGGCAGTGAAAAGATTTAATTCCACTACATAAAAAAAAGAGCCAAATCCTAAGTGTTGCTCTGGTGTCGTGTTAATGCGAATGGATTTTTATGCTGGGAACATGACACAGTTTTTTTGTGTTTAGAAAAAAATGAATTTCCCTCCTGCACTGTGACTCAAAATGCTCGTTGTGGAGTTGACGCGTATCTGTGGGTCCTCCCCTGTGTGCACTTCCTGCTGTATGCCTGGTTTCTGTCTGTCCTCATGGGAGTTTGGACTGCTGCTGTTTACATCCTGTCCACTGTCCTTGTTTCTGTGTGAGGCATTGAGCTCGTCTCCACTGACTGTTAAGACGGTCTGTGTGCGGTGCCACTCTGTTCTGACTGTTAGCTTCCACTGACGATGCATGCTGGCAGTGTTTCTGTGTTCTTGATGCACTTGGCCTAAGCAGTCTCTGTTTGTACTGTAGCTGTGTCTCGTCTCTCCTCGCTCATCTCGCCATTTGCTTTTTATGTTCCCTCCTCTCGACACCAACACAGCGCGATTCATCCCCATCCCTCCCCATGTTTCCACTGTCCTCCCAACACTTTGTATGTTTCTTCCATTTTCTGTGTCACCAAGACAACCTGCTCTAGTATGGATGAAAGAAAAGAAGGCATTACACTTTAATGAGCAGCAGCTATTTAAAGCAAGTTTTGGTGGCATGATTTTGGCTGTGCATGTACCAGTCTTTTTTAACATCAATGTTTTCCTTGTGTAGCTCACCCCATCGTTCAAGTTTCCGGATACCAAGCTGTGAGTTGAAGGGGAGCAGCCGATGTGAGTGTGTGTGTTGTTGTTAGAGGGCAGAGCGGAGGGAAAAGAGGTAGAGAGGAAATGAGAGGTAAGCCTAATGCAACGTGCAGGGCCAAACAGCTACTCTGACATTTAGATCTCACTCTGTATATCCCCTGCTCCTCCACCGGCCCCATATCAACCCCAACACACAGAGGAAAGGTAACCCCCCCCCCCCCCCACCACCACCGGCTATACGGGACCCGTGTATCACTCCTGTCTCGAGTAATCAGAAAGGGTCAGTCTATTTCCTGGCCTCCAGGTGGCTTTCTGATCTCGTCATGTAGGTACTGTTATGTTTAGAGCACTGTAGACCATTAATGATATAGACCATTAATGAGCATTTCTATTGATTCAGGTCTATTGGAGATAGAAACTGTGGGAGTTATTAAGGATAAAACAGAAATGTAACGACGTGTAGAGAAGAAAAAAAGAAAAAAAACTGTACCAGCATACAATGCTTTGCCCATGTTTGTGGACAGAGTATGGTTTGTCAATGAAAATGTGATACTGTTTCAAATTTCAAAGCAATATTATATTAATGAAAAATTAAATAATACAATGACAAAACAATCCCTATCACGTCTGTTGTCAGCTTTGGTTTTGCATTATGGCTCAAAAAGTCAATCACAGAAGGAAACATAACACCGTCTGTTTGAAAGGTAAAGTGACAAACCTGTTGGGTCATATTTAACAATTATACTTTCAGTGTTTCCCCTGAACTAGAACATTTAATGTATAATGTCAACAAACAATTAGTCTTGATGTGTGCCTACCATGGTTTGGATTACACATTGAGAAACTGAAACGTTGACTTTAATTAAAGATTTCCCACAACTGTATTAAGTTAGTTGAAAGCAATATCATTAAGTTTGATGAAAAAACATTGATATTATTGTCAAGTCACAGAGCTAAGCATTTGATTTGTGGCATGGTGTTTTAAAAAAAATATTCTGCTGTGTTGATGACATTTTCAGAATCCTCAAATCTCTTACCCATTTAAACCTACAGTAACTTTCTACTGTAAATGACTATACCTGTGTTGAATATGTTGTTGAGTTGTCAACTAACACAATCTTAAATGTCACCAATTATTTTTCCAAACCTTGAGAAATCCCTTATTTTATTCAACGTAACAGTCCATTTCATTGGGTCTCCTGTACTCACAACGTGTGCTTGTTCAGCGTATATAACGTTGTGTTTCTCCGCTAAAAGTCATATATTGTCTTTTCAAACTATTTAAAGCCACATTTTTACGATGCATTGTTGAAGAAACAATGATTTTCATCATCTGAAACGGCTCAACATAAAATGACCAGGTTTTCAAGAGAGTGCCATGTAGCGCTGTTTAAGCTGAGTTTGTCTGCTTTTGTGTTAGCTTTGTCGTTTTAAGTGTATCCAGTCATTGTTTTCCCAGGATATTGTTTAAAACATGAATTGAGGGAAAAACGGTGATTTCTTAAATAATTTATTAATTATATTTTTCATTTGTTTGGTGGATTGAATCGTGGCTGCCGAAGAATGGAACATATTTGTACAAATAGGAGCCTGTTTAGTACACCACCTTCCACCTATAGCACCTACTGAAGGGGAACACACTGAGTATAGTTTTTGGTTAGTAACTAAAGGTGCAAAAAACATGAATTCAGGAAAAAGTACTCACCGTCATAAAAGTCTGTCTTCATTAAGATAAGAAGAGAACCCAGCTACATATTAAAAGTATTATTTACAAACTCTAAGCATCATCTTTGGTACTTGATGCCTTTCCTGAGGGATGAAGTAAACCTACAGATATGGTTTTCAGTTAGTTGACCTTTTCCAAAACATTTCTGAAGCACCGTCGTGTTATGACTCTTTTCAGTAACGCACTGAAACTACTTGCTACTCTTGTCCAGGTTAAAAACTGTTACTCATTATGTTTCATTCAACTGTTTTCTTAATGTTTTGTGCGTTCAAATGTGTGTTTGAGATGCATCAATGCAATAATAGTTAAGATCATGCTTTGATTTATACCTTTTTTTGATATATATAATAATATATATTTTGTTTTTCTGCTGCAGACTGTATATGTCTTTGCTTTGAACACTTGTTGACAGTATTAACACTCGGTAACAAAACATTCAAACAGCACCTCATGCTGAGGTTCACCAGGGGGGGTTCTGGGTCGCCCTCAGTCTGGCGTGAGCCCCCCTGGTCTTGGCCTCTCCCGGGGGGGAACAGCAGTTTCCTGAGGATGGGAGCGTAGAAGGGACTGAAGACGCTTCTGTTGAAGTGGACGATTCGCCCAAAGGCCGCCCCCCGCTCTGTGAGCTCTGCGCTCCCCAGCCCGGGGGGGTGCAGGCCGCTCTGGACTTGCTTTGCCGGGACCGCCCTGCAGCAACGCCCCGAGGAAGCCTTGTACCCTCTCTCCTGTTTGACCGAGGGAGGGGGAGAGAGCAGGAAGGAAGGTTGTCTCTCTGCAGCAGCACACAGTCCTAAAAACACATGTGGACATGTGATAACTAAAGGACATTATAACGCATGTTCTTTCCTACGGATTAAAATATACTACCATCAACATCCCGCACTATTCTGTGAATATTTCTCCAAATATTTTAGTAATTATACTCTGGTTTCAGCTCCCCTTGCTGCTTTCTTTTGTCATATTTAAGCGCAAACTAAATCATTTTATTTATTTTTTGTAAAAAAGTTAGCATCCATCGATGGATGAAAGACTTATCTGAAAAATGTCTTGCAAGGCATGTTGCTCTTGTTGTGTAATATCGATGCATCCCCAAACTAACAGATACAAGAAACCCTGCCCTAAATTAGAATTAATATAACCAATATCCAACTATCTAAGTACTTGAAAACTTAAATGTGAATTTGTATAATTTTCCATGATGTGTCCCGCTGTTGTGCTCAGCCTGACCTGTGAGAGTGTGGACAGGGTGGCTCAGAGATGTGTCCTCTCAGCAGATCCTGCTCCCCTGAGGCAGCCCCCCCCCCCCCCCCCCCGCCCCCCTGGCCGCTCACAGCTCCGGTCACCAGCTGCAGCACCGCATTGTATTGCGGCTGGGAGTGCGAGCAGGCCTTGATATGACACGCTGCTGTTCCACATTTATCCACTAATCATGACGAGGCTTCTCTTGAACAGAAAGAATGAGGTTAGCTGAATCTGTTCTGACAAGCTACTTTCCTCCTGTCACCTCCATTGGTTTCCTTCTCATACGATACCTGTTCCCCGTGACAGCCAGTACATGCATAACCAAACCCTCCTCTTACCTGCTGTGACTGCCCTCAGCGCCCTGACGGACTGCCTGAATTTACCCACAAACCCCTGGGCTGGTCAAGGTCAGCACCGACGCCTCCAGGGCCGACGGCTGCAGCCGCTGGGCCGGAGCATCGAGGCCGAGGCGGTCCATCAGCACCGTCTGTGTGGGGTGGGGGGGAGAGGGTTAATCACAGTTTAAATATGAGCCTATACAAAGAAACTAACACATCTTGATGACATCATTGTGGATCCCATGGAAAATGTTTCACTGGATATTCTACAAGAAGGTTGCCAAGATGGGGTACTTTCGCATTTGGAAGGGGGCACGTGTAAATTGGAAATTGAAAGAAAAAACAAATTTATAAAATAAGAAAAGATTAAAAATCCATTGGATAAAACTTTAAAATAATGGATGAAACACTCAAATAGCTAAACGAAGTCTTACACCCCAAAGTCCTAAATATCTTGTTCCATTATATTTAACAGAAGGCGCATACGTATCTGTACAGTCGTTACCTCCTAAACTCAGCAAACCATCAAAACAATATAGATTTATAATTTAAAATCATAAGTACAACAGATAAGAGGAAAAATATATATATTTTATTCGGGGGTGAACCGTATTAGTGATAAATGTTTAAGAAAATAGAAAAAACGTTGTATACAGTATATAGATGAAATTGCTAGTTAATAGCAATAGTATAGTGAACATGTTTGAAACATTAGGCTGCACTAGTTCACTCCATGTGGGAGCAATACGAAGGCAAACGTGACCACCTCAAAATTCAGTTCAATTATAGGAAGACTTTATTGTAGGCTGAAAATATCCACCTTTAAATAATGGATAGTGTTAAGTAACATGGAGAAAAGAACACATTTGAAACATGATGCTGATGAAGGAGTGCTTGAGTTTATCTGACAGGGCTGTGTCAGAACAGCAGGCTGCGCTCTAATGTGTCACATGCTGCAACACGAGGAGGAGGAGGAGGGGGAATATATAATATACAAGGTAACTGTATTTGATTACAAGGACATTAAAAAAATAAGTAATCAGATCACCGTCACATTTTTCAAAAATAGGGATTACTAGCAGGATTGGCGGTGGTGGCTTGGGAACTGGAAGGTCACCAGTTACCCAAAGTGCTACCGAGGTGTCCCTGAGCAAGGCACTGTTCCCTACACTGCAAACAACTCCCCTCTGTGGAACTATTAAGGGTATATACATTAATTAACTTACATTTTTTACACAACTTTTTGAACTAAAGATCAATATACAGTATAGTAGATATACTGAATTAATTGTCTTTATGGTTTATATTTAGGCTATACATATAAACTACTTTAATTCTTCTTTATTTTAAATACATTTATTTATTTAATGCAGAAGGTCGACACCTGATTTTTTAAACAAAAATACAGTCTATGCTTTTAATGAATGTATTAAGCTTAAACAGCATTTGTAAAGTATTACTGTTACTACACTTCTTCTTTTCTAAGGTAAAATTGTTGCATACATTTATTTTCTCCTGTGTTTATTTGCATTACGTTTGATATCAAAGGATCCAAACGCAACGGATAGTAGGGGGGGCGGCTGTCAGCCCAGTCACACTGAGCCTCTTCGGATGCCGCCGCCTGAAGCCAAGCGGTGGTGTCGTCCAGAACATCTGCAGGGAAACAGTAAAATACACCGTGACGATTGGAAGGCCATGTTTACACATGATTTAGATCTGCTGCAATGGCACTAAATCAGATCGCTCAATCAGAAAGAGGATAAATGGCATGATGGAGAGTGGGGTCAAAATCAGTTTAATTGAAAATGTGAAATATCCAATGACCATGAGTTTCACAGTCACAGTCACTTCATCATCTATCACGGAGATTTAAACACTCTTCCTCACCAGGCCGCTGGTCCAGGATCTGCTAGAAATGTCCCTTCTCGTACTGCTCTGTATCCTGCAGGAGGTTCAGCCTCAGGAGCACGATGATGAGGTTCAACATGTCCACCTTCATCAGGCCCAGGAAGATCTGCCTGAGGGAGGGGCAGGGAATCACTTTTAATATCAATAAAACAACTTTATTTACACATATAGCACCTTTCAAAACAAAGTGCTTTCCTATAAAAACGGAACACATTTACACGGAAAATGAAATGGACTAAAAACAAGCAACTAAACACATAAAGAACGGAGAGTAATGCAAACTAAAAGCAACGAAACATAAACAGAATGACATAAAAGCAATTCAAGTGATATAAAGTCCAGACAGAGTTCTTAAATAAAATGTTCTTTGTGATTCTTTGCCAAAAAATTCCAAATGCAAGCAAGCAAGCTTTATTTATTCAGTACTATCTTTAAGAGAGGAGCTGCAAGAAGAGAACAAAAAGGTAATACAAATTCAATAACAAATAAAAAGTAAGTAAATTGTTTTTTAGATGTTTCTTTTTGGTTTATCCGTGATATGAATGAAAACAGTTGGCTACAAACCCTGGAGGTGTTTAAAAATAGGTCAAATTACTGGGTTTATTCATCAATAACAGGTTTTGTCAGATAAGGCGTTGATAACCCGCCCCTCACCTCACGATCTCTCGCGGTCCCGGAGGTCCCTCAGTGCTCTGACCTCGGGGCGCCGTTCAGGAGCACATACAGTCTCCATGGTGTTGATGATGTAACCCGTCAGTCTGCGCAGAGCTCCGTGATCCACTTCCTCCCGGATCAGCTCCATGTCCAGCACCTCCTCCAGCTGGGACATCAGACTGACGTGCCGGGGCAGCAGCACGGACTGCAGCGTCTAAAAGAAAATATGAGACAACTTTTAGTGGAGGTTACATCCAGAAAATGTACGATAAATACAAAAAACCATCCCTAGTTTAGCTCAACTGATAGATAAACAGGTTGACAGGTTATTATTAGCCGTTTGAATTTAAAAAACAGATACTTAAGTTGGTGTACATGTTGGCTGATTGGTGACAGGAGAACATTCCAGTACAGTAACGCGGAAGACACTGACAAGTTTTTCTCTGCAAAATGTAATCTCAGTAGCTTCATTACAATTCTTAAATAACTAAATGTTAGGGGTTCTCATCAAATGCTGGTAAATGGGGAAAACATCTTACGAGGATCTTTTAAACTCTCAACTTCAAGCATCATCTTCAACAACCAAGCGTCTGGTGGACTTACTAACTAAGCTAAATTATTCAATAGTTTGAATAATTTGAACATGTTGGGACACTTGTAAGCTTTTGGAATTAAATGAAATTATTCATATCCATAATTTAACCCCCTTAACACAACTGTGCTTTTTATGGATGAAGCCCATAAGATTTAATAAGATACTCGTTTGTTAAAGGTCACCTATTAAGTAAAAATCTACTTTTTCATGTCGTTTATACATAAATATGTCCCCTCTTTTCGATTTGAAAAGTTTCATGAAAAAAGATTCTCTCACTTGTTGTCCTGATCCATTTATATAAAAGCCTGTCTGAAAATGAGCTGATTTTGGCCACTTTGTGATGTCATAACGGTTTTTTGGCTTCTAACCAAACACTTTGCAGTGGCCAGCAGCAGCTCATTAGCATTTAAAGCTACAGACAGAGAATCAGCACTTTTGAAACAGGGCTGAAACAGAGGGGCTTATGGAATGCTACAATGATCTGTTTGGTATTTGGAGCCAAACACTTCAGAGACATGTTTTGTATAAATCTGAGACCTATAATATATTGTTGAAAAAGAGTATAATTGGGGAACTTTAACTTTAGAAAGAGCCAGTCTCTTCGTATGGAAGTAGTATTACATATCCCGCTTCAATCTCATTAGTATGCATAAAAAAGTGACAGGTCACACCTTCTAAGTCCCGCCCCCTAATTATGTTAATGACCCCCCTTTGATATGCTAATGAGCCCTTTGTTCGAGGTGTTATCGCGTACAGGTGTGACATCCTCCCCGGTACCCCCCACCCCCCTCAGCCCACCCCCCCTCCCCCTCACATACAGGTGCTACATCCTCTCAGGTAGCCCCCCACCCCGCTCAGCCCCCACCCCTCTCAACCCCCTCCTCCTCCCCCCTCCTGTCCGGTCGGCATGTTCGTTACAGTTTAAATCTTCCGGGGCAGAATTAGAAAAGTGCCGGTTAAAGGTCTTCTATGTTATTTAATGAGCTTTGAAACAAACTGATATGATTCGATATTAAACCAACTAGTTATAGTAGATTAATTAACTATTCAAAACGTGTACAGTAATTTACAATAACACGGGAATAATAAACGGACTGCTCTCCCCCCTCCTGACAACACGCCAGTATCATGCAGCTCGCGGGTCCAATAATGAGTGACTCGACAGTAAAACTAAAACAAACTTTAACTAGTTTAGGTAGTTTGAGAGGTAATTAAAATAGCTACGTGTGTTATCTACGAGTGTGTTTTGTTCCGCTCACCGCATGCAGAGATGCATGTCGAATAGTCCGCAGCACCGGGGTCTCCCTCCGTCAGCAACAGCGGGTATCCCCCGTCAGATTAGACGTTACTAGCGTTTATGTCCATGCATAATCAGCCCCTATAGGACATCTTTTGTCTGTCACACACTATTCTTGTATGTCACATAAGAGGTGCAACTGATGCGGTATTGCGCTAAAGGGGATATCCTTCTGGCCGGAGAGATTTCCATACACACACACACACACACACACACACACACACACACACACACACACACACACACACACCCATACCCGTATTCCCCTCCTACCCCGCCTTTTAAAAAAAATAAGAGTTGGGTTAATAACTAAGGAGGCTCTCTTGAAGTGTACGGATGGTGAACTAATGTTTAATTACTATACTAACTATAAGGGCCTCTCTTTGTTGAAAGGAGGGGTAATCTGGTAATAAATGCAACAAAGTCTCTCTGAAGAGGTTGGCAATAAATTAAAGATCTTAATGACCCCATGGCGTTTGGTTTTTTTCTTTATGTTTAATTACATCAAATCCACTAATAAAATAATCCCTATATGAAGTTATATGTGTCATCTTTCCTGAAACTGAAGTGCTGTCCGTTTTACAAACAAGTTATCTTTCTGCTTCTTCACCCCTGAATTGTCCTCCCCCGTCCCTATTACTTCAGCCATCACATCAAGTCAGATCTGTGAAATTAAACACCTCTTCTCAAAGCGTGACTTCCCTATTGGGGGAGTGGGGCAGTAGGGCCTAACCCGATTTGGCCAAATATACTAACATGCAGAACATATGGTATGTTTTGAAAAAAGACTAACCATCTATCCAGTTCAAGCTGTCTTTAAGATGTGACATTGCGCTCTGACTTTTTCCCGTAAAATCGTGACAAACTATTACTTATTAAATTTGACCTCATACTGCTTGGTTGAAAATGATAGATGAGCATTTTACCAACAGATCAACGCGCAATCAACCCATACAGGACATCTCTTTCTACACATTATGTGTTATCACTATAATATCATGTCATTATTTAATGTTGTTTTGTTTGTGTGTGTGTGTGTACAACGAAGTCTCTTTGAGAGGAAAATTATAATTTAAAGATCTTATTACCCCCTTATTGTTTAACTACTTCACACAACTATTAAAGAATCCCTATATGAAGTTACATGAGGCTACATTTACTGGTGTGCTTCCCTAGATGATGTAAATAGTCTAAGTGTCATGTTAGGGGGGCATTACGGACCTCAGGAGTCCGCCCTTGGAGGCTTGGAGAGCGGATAAAGAGAGGTGTAGAACTAACAAAAAATAATTAAGTATTTGCAATGCATAAACATAGAAGTTATCACTGTCATATTATGATCACTTAATGTAAGTAAGTTTAAGTAAAACTAACACAAGTCAATATTATTCACCTAGGCATTAGTGGGCTTGAGGGTCTCAAGGAGCGTGGACAAAGTGACTTGTCTCTGTATTTGAGGATTCTCAGTGCAGGCACTAACAGGAAGCTGCTGTGCATTAGTGGAGAGTCCTCTGAAGGCAGCTGTTATTTCATTCACACACTCATCTGTTACCTGCTGACTCCTCATAGTAAGTCTAGCCAAGTCAGCTGTTAAGTTGTCCATACCATCGCTTGATAACTGGTAACTTTTGATTGACAGTCCAGCCATGGCAGCTGCCAACTCGTCCATATAATTCTTAAGAACGTGGTGACAATACTACAAAAAAAAGTGTATATATTAGGTCAGTTAACCTTGAAGAGCTAAACAGTTCAAGTGGTAAGTAACTAAGTATTTGCAATGAATAAACATAGAAATGATCACTGTCATATTATATAATCACTTAATATGGAGATAAGTAAAACTGACACAGACAGTTTAAACTGCTTGTTAAAATGCTATTGCTTAGTGTGTTTTCTCAGCACACTAACATAAATAAGGATGTATAATATAAAAAACTAGAAAACGATATAGTATTTTCAAGTCTTACGGTAAAATTAAGAATAAGTCACATTAAAGTGTGTCATGATTTTCCGTAAAAAAGTCAAGTATAGTTTGTCAAAAGAATATGAAAAAAATCATTTTGTAGAGTAGTATGTTGAAAATCTCAGTGTTTAACTGAACACACCTACATGTGATAACGCCTCGAACAAAGGGGTAATTAGCATACAAAGGGGGGTCACTAGCATCAGAGGGGGAAAGGTGCTACGGGAATGAACTTTGAGGAGGGGGAACTTGTAAGAATTTCCAGCTTTTGAAGATAATTATATGGTACCCGTCCTTACAGCTAAACAAATCCTATGCCAGGTATTCTACAGACCACAAGAAGCACAAGAAGCCCCAGAAAGTATTACATTCAGAGCTAATAATGGTGAAACCGAAGAAGAAGCAAAGCAGATTATAATCGCTGCGGGTGAAAGGATAGAGAATTTGCAAGTGATGTTAATGCACTTATCTGATATAAAAAAATGCATTCATTTACTTCCAAGAGACCCCTAAACATCTACTTGGGCAATGTGAATTGAACGATAAACCGATCACTGTAAATGAAACGCGGAGAGAAGCAGCAGTGCAAATCGTTAAGTCTATTACCTTGAATGCACTACGACATTAACTTGGTCAAATGTAATATGTCTTTCTGAAAATGTGGCGAATGGTGTGTTTTTCAATTAAGCAACCATAACAAATTAAAATGTGTTTTATTCTTGCTTTCATATATAGTAATAGTATTAATTCCTTTGACTAGACTGTACTAAAATAAGACGTTTCACTGTTAAATAAAAAAATGGAAGTAGAAAATCGAGATAATGATGAGGTTCGTTATGTATCCAGTAACTATGAACAGCAGTTGAAAATGTTATTTAACCCTTTAACTCTAATAGACAAATCTAAAATAGCCTCTAGCTTATCTATAAGTTTGTGATTTTAACACTTATTCACTGACACAAGGCAGATTTTGGCTTTTTTCTCATGCCAAGATACTTTTAGACACACTTTGAGGTATGCAAAACCTTAAAACTAGAAAATGAAGTACATTGTCTGATTAGATTTTTTCTTAAAGACTGTTTCTCTAAAAGGCAAGTTTTGTGATTTTTAACACTTATTTACTTTTTTCTCTCTTTTCTTGTGTTACCAAGATACTTTTAGATACACTTTTGATGTATGCAACACTTAACAAAAGGGTATAATATGAAGTACTTTGTAAGGAATGGGGGTTTCTTTAATACCCCGTTTTTTTATTTTAAAAAACACTTGTACAGTTAAATAATGTAGGTTTTCTCTGATATTTTAGTTATTTTCAGCTACCAAGATACTTTTTTGATACACTTTAATGTAGGAACATTTGGC